CTAAATATTCCATTACCACCCAGAGCTCATCGTTGACCAGAAAACTTGAGTATGTCTCAACAATATTGGGATGATGATAGTCACGCATAATTACAACCTCATTAAACAATAACTCACGACGTTGCTGTTTGCGTAAATCCATTTTCTTGACAGCTACCTGGCGACCTGTTTATTGTTTAGCATTAAATGAAGGGGAAAGTTTAAAACACAAAAATTTTGCAAAATATGAAACAAAAGCAAAGAAACAAAAACGACTTACCTGTCGACTTGTCTGTGGCAATGCAAACGGTGCCCGTTGAACCTTCACCGATTTTCATGAAATTGTCGAGATTTTCACGTGGATCGCCGGCAGAAACAACCATTTGAAGAGCCGACCGGAACTAGAAAAACAAAAAAAAAAACAATAATATAATAAACATTTAGAAGTGATTAAGAGACTCAACATTATATACTTAAGAATAGGGATATGAAGGATAATTATCTTCAGACTTTTTAGATATTATACACATCAGATTGTTAAGGAGTTTCAGGTCTTAAAAACCCGTGGTGATCGTATAAGGTTTATTATACCCTCAGCCATATGGTAAGATAAGGTATGGCCAAAACGTGCCTCATCGAAATAACGGTTTTAGACTCTAGGTCTCTTTGGACCAAATCCGTTTCAGGATATTCGGTGTCGATCTGGCAATGTCCGTCCATCCGACCGACAGTCTGTCTGGCTGGTGCGCACTATAACTCTCGAAGGGAGTATCCGATTTCATCCAAACTTGGTACATAGTAATATTTTTGTCAAACTTAGATCTAGTTCGGATATGGGCCATATTGATTAACTCCTTCTGGCACGTCCCCCACAAAATGTCAAAATTTTCAAAAAAATAATTTACTGCACAGAAAGAGAAAGACCAAACGGATTTTGCTACAACTTTGCATATCCCAATATTTGCATCAGTTCTAGGTCAGGTGCGAAAATGTACAATATCGGTCCACTCCATCAAGTACCTCCCCCACAAAGGGTCAAAATTTTGAATAATAATAACTCTTATAGAATGGGATGTACGTGTCCGATTATCTTCAAATTACACACATCTCTATATTTTTTATTAATCCAAGATCTGGTGTGAGGATGGAATATATCGGTTCACTCCTTCTGGTACCTCCCTCACAAAGGGTCAAAATTTTGAATATTCATGAAGCCCATAAAATACGAAATTAACTTTCGATTCCATTCATACTTGGCACATCTCAATATTTTCATCCACACAAGATTTGTTATAAATATGGTAGAGATCGGACTATTCCTTCGGGTACCTCCCCCACAAAGGGTTAAAGTTTTGAATAACCAAAACGATCATAGAATCCGAAATAAGCATCTGGTTCTCTTTAAATTACACACATCACACAATTTTGATTATACCAAGGTCTGGTGTGAAATTGGGATATATTGGTCCACTCCTTCTGGTACCTCCCCCACAATGGGTCAAAATGTTGAGCATCCACGAGGCTCATAAAACGCGAAATTAACATCCGATTCCATTCAGACTTGGTACATCTCAATATTTCCATCAACACAAGATATGTTATAAATATGATACAGATCGGACCATTTTTTCTGGCACCTCCCTCACATAACTATAAAAAAGTTGAAAAACAAAACGCTCAAAGAAAGCGAGATAAGCATCCAACTCTCACATATCCAAATATTTTTGCTAACGCAAGATCTGTTGTGAAGGTGATATGCATTTGCCAAGCCCTTCTGGTGCCTCACCCGCAAAGAGTCACAATTTCCAATACTTTTATCGGTCATAACTTGGGAAAAAAAGTCGCCTATTCTTTACAACTTGCTATATCTAAATATTTCTCTTAACCTATGATTTATGATTTCGCATATAATTGGATATAAATGTTCGATATCCTTCAATATTTTCCAACCAACCAAAAAACTCCTACAATTTTTGCTCATTACCTGTTCATGTGTCAAACGTGGCTCCTGCTTTGGTGGTGCTGCCGTTGCTGTACTACCACCCGTTGCACTGGTAGCACCAACACCAACTGTTCCGCCACTGGAACTGGAAGCTCGCGATGCTGTTTTTCCATGCAAATGCATTTGATGAGGATTCTGATTTTGATCGGATGTTATCAGGTTATTACTAATTTGTTTGCCAGCCTGTTGTTGATGTGTTAAATGCTGCTGCTGCTGTTGCGACTGATGATGGACGCCATGGGGTGGCAAAGTTGGTGGACCATGATGCAGCATTTGTCCTTGAGGTGTGGGATACATTGGTAAATTGTTTGTGGTAATTGCGGAATTATTGTTCATATGGTGTCCATGGGAATGCGATGAAATGTGAGAATGTGTCGAACGAGTATTACTGGCTATTGAACCAACAGGCGATATCTGTTGCACATGCATATGCGGGGCTCCGGGTCGGTATTGCACAGAGCCAGCTCCAGGCTGGGTACCCATATCCGTACGAACAGCCAATGGACCACCGCCGTTAACAACTGTCTGCTGTCCAACGTACATTCCCGCGACCGCTGAACCTGTCGTCTGTGTCCCAGGTGCCTGCTGCAGTTTATATGCGGCCATATTTACAGCTGGACCTCCCGATAAAGCATTTATTGCACCACTGCTACTCGAAAGCGATTCCCGTTCTTCGGGAACAGCAGGTGGCACATTTGCATTTCCTCTCAAATCCCTTCGAATCCTGGGCGGACTTGAACTACGCAATGAATTTGATCGTGCCACATGCGAGGTCTTTGGCAAAACAATACCACCTCCAACCGTGGCAGAACCATTATCCGCAGCCATCGCATGAACATGTTGGCCAATAACACCCCCTGCTCCACCAACACCAACAGGCTGTGTAGCTATGCTACTATTCAGAGATGTTGTATCAGCTTTATTGTTGTTATGATGCGGTCGAACAATGGTCTTTAAATCCAATATTTCAGTCGGTGTTATCTCGGACGGATCGACCAAAGGCAACGGTCTATTTGTTGATTTCAGTATTTGGTTATTGCCCACTATGCTCGCCCATTGCATTGGAAGACCCACATATTTTTGTTGGCGTTTGTCGAATCCCGTGTGTACTCGATGCTCAAAATTACTGGGCATAGAAATCAAAGGTTTCTTCTTTTTCTTTGAAAACATATTCACACGCACGTCACAAAATTATCTTTGACACGAAAATAAAAGATATAAAACTATAAATTACAGGTAATTAAAATGACTATTTTGCGAAAAAAAAACTACAAAAAAATGTCTTCTTCTTCTTCCTACTAAATCTTCAAGCGAAACTGGAATTGTGTTTGTGTGCCATTTGATAACAAACCAAACGTCACAGAACGTCAAAATCAATGTCGAGATACGCTGGGAACGTCTAAGTAAAGCGTATAAAGCGTATGTAATTATCATCAAACCATCGTTGTGATTGAAGCATGTGAAGCCTTCATGTGTGTGTCTGTGTGGTGTTTGTTGGTTAAATCTGAAGAATCTGAATCCATTTCCGGAATCTACGAAATATTATATGCCAAATTATAGGTAATACTATCACCTTTCCAAAATGCAATAATATGTGTTTTTATCCTTCCTGAATCCAGACATATGTGTCCTATAATTCAGGATTTTTTTCTCTGCCCTGCAAAAGTAATTTCAGCTTCTTCTTACAAATCCCATTGGATATTCTGCAATCAAACAACTATCCATTTTTCGATCAACCAACTTTTTGCATCTATCATTTGAAAAGGTATCAATTCTTAAAGAAGTATTTTCTTTTCTGTTAAAATTTAGATACATTTTCAAAACAAAATATGCCAAAACACTTTTGACAGAAATCGGCCACTCTCAGAAAAAAATGTATAATCAGCTGATAGGTCTGCAATACCTTTTTGTTGTACCCATGGTGGAGTTAAAAAGGTAAAGTCATTTCAAACAAGCATATCCATTTTTGTATTTTCTTTAATTTACCTTGTCAAATTTCACTGCATAAAAAAACTGGTTCCCATCTCTGATTTGTATATGTACAATTAATTTATAAATATACATTTTGAGAATATGATGTTGTCAAATGAATAATTTTGAAAAAAATTTAAACGTATCAGTGCATGCATGTTAAAATTAAAAAAGTAAAATCATTTCAAATAAGCATTTTCTTTGTTTTACCTTGTCATATTTCACTGCATAGAAAACTGGTTCCTATCTCTAATTTCTGTATATACAATGGATTTGTAAATATAAATTTTGACAATGAAATGTCAAATGAAAATTTTTGAAAAATATGTAAACATGACTTAACCTTCTTAATTCTACAATATGTACATGACTTGACCTTCTTAATTCAACCATGGACTCGTCATGGTTTACTTACCCATATATTTTTGCTCTGTTATCAAGAATCTACTAGTTTTTTTTTTAAATTTTTTTTTTCGATATCATAAAGGAAAAATCATTTATCATAGTAAAAAGTTTCAGATTTTGAAGTCATGGAATGGAGCATGGTACAATGAAGAGAAGGTAGGTCAACTTTGAAAAAATTGCAAGTATAGAGGTCTACCTGTTTGGCTTGTAATGTCAGAATTAGTATCAAAACAATAAAAAATCAAACAACTTGTTGCATTTATTTTGAATAAATAATTTCAAACCGCGAAAAATGAATGAAAGGTCAAAATTTCTTTTCAAAAATATGTTCTATATATCTCTTATGGTTTATTTCGCAACAAAAACTGTAGATTTTGTCGAGGTATACGTTGCAATAAGCATTTTGAAAACACCCAAATTTGAATATTTCCTGAACAATTTTTTATTCTTGAAAAAATACACACACATAAACAAATAAAGTTGACATATTAAGCCAGAAAAATGAAAAAATTGAAATCATATGGTTGTTCTGCCCTACCTTGAATTCATTGTACCATGGAATGGAGCATTTGCTCTGTTACCACCTCCATGATCGATAATGTGTACACCACCCAATAGTCAACTTTCGATAAATGCATCTGTGCAAAATGAGTTGGCAACGCACTGCTTAAAATTGCAACTCTGCAACACACGCCAAAAATATTTTTTGCGGCTTGATTAATTTTTTCGAGATTATACGTTTAGTTTTTTCTGAAGAAACGCTAAAATATGTCGAAAGCACATCCCCCAGAACTTAAAAAGTAATTATTTGACTCTTGATAATATTATTGTGCATATATTGTGATAGTTTAAACCATATTTCTCAATTACATGCATGTGTGCAATTTTGTTACTTGCCGTCATATTAATATCCACAATTAATTTTTTCAGGTACATGGATAAACGCATGTTGCTTAAGCTGAACGGTGGCCGTTCCGTAGCTGGTATACTGCGTGGATTTGATCCTTTCATGAATGTGGTGCTCGACGAGACAGTGGAAGAGTGCAAAGACAGTACCCGCAACAACATTGGTATGGTTGTTATTCGTGGCAACAGCATTGTTATGGTCGAGGCCCTGGACCGGGTCTAGAGCGACTTTTGGGCACTACAAAGCAGATTAATTAGAATAAGTTATACCCTATATGGTATGTGTATTTTTGATATCATAAAATAAAACTATTTCAGCTAAGAAACATACCGATCTGCAATGTTAGTGCTTTTTTAGGAATGGGGATCGATTTTGAGAACACCCTTTTATGATTGCAAGAAGGTTTAAGTTAAAAATAAATGGCAATTTGTACTTTTATTTCATGTACTTTGTCACAGTGTTTTTTTTGTTCAACTTCTTGCATAGGCTCAATAGAGAAATTTTGTGTAAGAGATAGTTTGTAAGTTTAGATTAAGAATGTAATAAGTTTTCGGACATATTGCATAGGCTCAATAAAGAAATTTTGTATAAGAAATAATTATAAGTTCAAAAGCACTACTGTCGATAAGTTCGTAAGGACTTATTGTATAGGCTCAATAGAGAATTTTTGTATAAGGAGTAATATTTAAGAATAAAATATATAAAACACAATACATTTGTTTTTTTTCGTGTAAAAGATTTGCCGGGGAATGAAAACTACTGCCGACAAAATCATTTGGGAAAATTTGTTTTTAAAATCCATATTAACTTGGGCTATATTAATTCTCTATTTGGATTTGATGTTCCAAAAAGATTGAAACACGAGGTATCGAAATCCTAAGTAAATTCAATTGGTCTGTTCCAGAACTGCAAGAATGTAAAAGTTTCTACCACGATAACCGATTTTCCCTTTATGATACAGAATAAAATTGCAAAACTAGAAGATTCTTGCAGGTTCTGAAACATAGCCAATGAAAACCTACAAAAATCCGGATTCACATTCCTCAGTGCCGACTTCCAGAAGTTAGTCACTGTTTATACCCCACACCTCAAGGTGGTCAGGGTATTATGTCTTTGTTCATTTATTTGTAACAGGCATAAGCAAACGAGTCTATGGGTACATAGTTCCTTTTGATTATCTGCATAGAATCGATTTATGTTTTTCCGTCCATCTGCCTGGCCATGTTACAGGTCGCATTTATTGTCCGATCCAGATGAAATTTTGCACAGGTCATTTGTTTGACCCAAGGACGAACCCTCTAGAAATTGGAGGTAATCGTTTCAGATTTGGATATAGCTCCCTTATATATCTTCGTCCGATTTACCTTTTATTGTGCACCAAGAGTGTAATATTGCCCCAAATTTGAGCCCAGACATAAGTACGCCAAATTTGATCGAAATCGTTTCAGATATAGCTATGGCACCTATATATATTATTCGTCCGATTTGATATTTTTGCCCTCCGCGTCCGTAGTATGAACTCTATAACAACGACATTTGGGGAAATATATCAAATACAGCTCAGAAAAACCTTTGCCAAATTTTATCGAGATCGGTTCAGATTTGGACAGAGCTGGCATATATAACTTCGTCCCATTTGCGATTTATTGTGCACCAAACATGTAATATTAGCCCAAATAAAATGGAATTTGGCACTTATCAACATATTGAGCATAGAAAAAAGTATGTCAAATCTAGGGAAAATCGGTTCAGATATAGCTATAGCCCCCATATATCTTGTTCATCCGATTTGTTATATGAAGCACTACTAAATATGCAATTGGGTGTAGGGTTTCATATTGTCTTGCCTAAACAAAATCAGTTGCCGAGGTGATATAAATTGGACACTAATGGCTCTGTAACAGAGACATTCGAAACAATGGGACAATGAGACATTCGAGTATATGGCTGGCTTCCAGATTTAGGTTGAAATGAATTTTAAACCACGACTTATAGTTAGATCAATTTTCGGATTCAGATTCCAGTGGTTTCCCTGCACAAATTAATTTCTCTCGAACTTTTTTCATATCTATGCGAGAAGTTGGTCCTAGTACTTATGCTGACTTAAGTAGTACTTAATCAAAAGCCATTCAATGAGACTAGAAGTATCAAATGATCAAAAATAAATAGCATGCTTCTTCGATGCTAGTAATTGGGTCTTTGTTTAATGCTAATTTTTACAGTCGATTTTTGTTTATAAAACCTGTTCTCTATATTCGAAGTTAATATGTAGCTACAGAATAATGTTTCTGCTACGGATCACACACTATCAATGGTGTAAAATTTCAGTGAAATCTGGGCATGTTAGATAATCTAGGATTGTACCAAGGTCTGATAAGAACAGCTAAGAAAACTGTTCTCACCTTAATTTTCAGTTGTTGATCTCACTTTAATGATAAGTTTTGCGAACCGATGCCCAAATTCTGGTAAAACTGAATGTTGATGCCAAAGTCAGTACACAATCTTGGCTTTTTAAAATCTATAGCTTTACTTGAACCTTAAATCCAGAATATGCTCATATATACATTTAATCAGGACAATAGCACTTCTCCACTCGAAATAAATTCACTTATTGCTTGCAAAATTTAGTTAAAAAAAAAGTATCAACTATTTTTTATTTCTCTTGTCAACTTTAGTTTTCGGAAATGACAATTGGGCCAGCTACTTTGGTAGCTTCACGTTGCTTGGTGACGATTTGATTGGCAATGCGATCCAAATCACGTTGGCCAATTGGGGTCAATTTACGGCCACCATCGGGGTGCTTTTCGATAAGGCGGGCGTGTTCCAAGGCTTGCAAAGCTTTACGGGCAGCACCATCAGCAGCACGGCAGAAGTGAGAGGGGTGGACACCGTTACGTTTGCGGCCACCGTAGATCTTGGTGATGGAACCAACACCAGCTGGGCTGCGGTGGTACAAATGACGCAAAATCGAAGCACAACGGATATAGAACCAGTCGGGATCGTAAGGAGCCAATTCCTTGTATTTGGCTGTCTTGATGATGTCCATTTGGTCGGGGACCTTTAGTTTACCAGTCCTATCAAAAGAAACAGATACAATTAATACACAACAAGGGATAACATTATATGAGAAAAACTTACTTCTTCAAGAAGCTGGCAACAGCCTTGACGCAAGCGTGTTGATCAATATCTTTTACAGTAACGCCGGGCATCTATAAGACAAAAATTTGTTCATTAGTTACGTTGCACACACACCACACCTCACATAATTAACATTGTATACAGCAACAAAATGTTGTTTTTGTCACATGTGGATCTTTGTGTTTTCTTTTTTCCAGTCATTTCTCGTTTATGAATGACATAAAATGTCTCACTTAATAAAAAAGCATTTGTTTACCACTATGATTTTCAATTTGAATCATTTTTTACATTTTTTGCGCATACAATGTGATTTTTTTTTTATAAATTTTATAAAATTTCTCGGCAATTCATACCTTGCTTGACAGAGAGAACCGGAAGAAAGGACATGTTGAGTTAAGTTGGCCGCAGTTAATGTTTGACACTTCAAACAGCTGAGCGGGTTTTTGTTGGGAAGTGTTTAGAAATTTGATAGATTATTGACCGTTAGTGGAAAATAGTACAGTACAAAAGAATTTATTTAAAAAATATATTATCGATATAAAACCACATTTATTGGGAAAAGAAGAAAAGGGAGTAAATCTCTGTATAGAATTTCATGTATTTTACAATATTTTTTATGTAATATTTGTAATATTTTCCTTTGTTGATTGTCCGATAACCGATGTTTTCTTTATGATGTCGAAAAAATTGGAAAACTAGCATGCAGGGTCTGGATCATACCATATATACCAATACCATAACAAACCCGCTTTGGTAGAATGTTTTATACGTCCGTATTACCCAAATACACCAGGTCCATATTTGGAGTCTATTAAACAAAAACGTTGTAAATATTGACATTTTTTAAAATTGGCCCAATTGTAATAGTTTCCAATTACAAAGAGAAAAGAACAGCTTCGTAAAACTACAAAAATACAGCCCTGAGGCTATGCCCGCTTCCTGTCAAATTTTCATGCCACAATTTGTTTTCATTTATTCAATATTTTACCTTATTTTTAAAATCAGTTAAACAGTGGGAAAAATGAAAGAAAGAAAGATTCTCTTAAAGAAATTTGATCTAAACAGTTCTATCTTCAATTCCATGGCAATACTGGCGAATAGCTTTAATGCGCGTCTCGCAATTTTTTTTTTTTCAAAACAATAAATACATACAAACAATTGGCAAAAGTCGGGCACACTTGTCCAGCAGCTTCTTCTAACAGAGTAACGTAGCTTTATTCTCTTTTGCAAGAAAACTGTGAAACCTAAACCGACGGAGTCCCTGCATAAACTTGCAAGCGTTAATTTGATTTGTCAAAACGTAACTTGTCCGCTTTTTGTTAGAATCCTAAGCTTGTTGCTGGCTGTCAAAAATATCGCTTATTTGCTTATTTGACATACCTTAATTATAATTCGCTATAGTGTGCATTTTTCGATCTAGGGAACACCATTATTATCGTCCCTTTCTGTTTTGATTCCAGTAATTCGTTTCAGTGTTGCCATATTGCAGTGTTGTACTTGTCGTCGGCGTCGGTTGGACTACTCGAGACTTTGTAATCAACAAAATAGTGGCTGGTGTGACGTCCATCTGGAAGAGCCTAAAGCCGAACCGGGAGTAAGAAATAAGGAAAGGACTATAAAATGAGTTACATACAATTCGAGAGTGCCCGAGAAAAAGATAAAGCCCGCGCCGAATTGCGGGCGGCACGTGAGGCATTGTTGGAAGATGCCAAAAAGCGGGCAGTTCAAAGGGCTGAACGAGAAGCTAGTAAACAACTGAAAGGTGAGGTCAATTGGATGCATCCTGCAGTGGAAAAGAAGCTTAAGAAAAAGGAAAAAGAGCTCAAGAAACTCAAAAAGAAGAAAGACAAAAAGAAAAGTGCAAAAACAAAAAAGAAAACCAAGAAGAAACATAAACATCAGTCAAGTTCTGAGGAGGAAAGTGAGGAGAGTAGTGATGAGGATACGTCTTCCACCGAAAGTAGCACATCTGAGAGTTCTTCATCTTCTGAAGAAGATAAAAGACATAAGAAATCGAAAAAATCCTCAAAAAAGAGTAAAAGAAAGAAGAAAGAGGCTAAACATAAGAAGCAGGAAGAAAGCAGCAGTAGCGAAAGCAGCGAGGAAGATGGTGAAGAAAGGTGGTCAGAGGCTCCTAAGCCTGAAGTTCCGGTGCAAAGAGACAGTTGGATGACAGATGCCCTAATGTTAAAGACATATTCACGCGAACGTCCAAATAAACCCCAGGAGAAACAGCAGATTGATACGTATGATCCGGCAAAAAGCACTAGAGAATTGAACCCGTATTGGAAAATCACTGGTACTGGCTTGCCAGGTTTTCAAAAACCTCGTGACGATGATGAGTATGAAAGTCGCCACACCGCTAGGTCGTCAACGTCTCAGAGCTCTTCCCGGGGGTGGAGAAAACAAAGTGATGCAAATGAAATACCAAAGGAAAGAAAACCTCCACCACCTACCAGAAAAAGATCTGCCACGCCTAGTAGTAGTAGTAATTCTTCTTCCTCAGAACATGATGATCGGGACAATGTCAAGGAGAAAAAGCAAAGTGCTTCAACTTCTGACTTTCTAACGGATCAACAAATGAACGAACTGGCTGCAAAGATACTCAAAGCCGAGATCATGGGCGATTTGACTGCTGTGGAAGAGATGCGTGCCAAATTGGAAAAGGCCAGGGTACAAAGAAATCTCTTCAAGGAACGCAAAAAGGCTGAGGTTGAGGCAAATCGCCACCAAAACAAGGAAAAATCTAAGAAAACGGAAGAGGAACATGTGCTGCTTACTCACACAGACCAGTCGGGACATAGTCGACCTTTACCTGCATCGAAATTTGTTGATCCCCGAGATCTGTATGGCGGCAAGAAGAAACAAAAGCGTGTCAAGACACACGATGACGAGGGCCAGCGTGTACGCTACTTTGCCGATGATGACCGTTACGATATCAAGCAAATGTTTGAGCGCGAAAAGTATACCACAGCATCACAGGCTAATTTGGAATTTGCTGACCTAGCAGCCAAGAATAAAAACCCCAATGATGATTTGGAGGATATATTTGCCGAAAAGATCTGCAAAGATGATTCGTCACGGGAGGCTCGCAGAGAGCGTGATCGTGCCATTAGAGAACATCAAAAAATGGAGGCGGTTTTGGATAACTGCTATAGATGTTTCGATTCTACGAAAATGCAAAAAGAGTTATTGGTTGCCGTTGGAGATAAGGTATATCTGGCATTGCCCTGGTATCAAGGACTACAAACAGGCCATTGTATGATTATACCCACCCAGCATGCGACATGTTGTACTCAGTTGGACGAGGATACATGGGAGGAAATCAATGATTTCCGCAAAGCTTTAACAAGAATGTTTGCCGCTCAACGCAAGGATGTTATTTTCTTTGAAATTGCCAATAGACTACACAAACGTCCTCACTTGGCAATACATTGCATACCCATTAGGGAATCTGAGGGTGAAATGGCACCGTTTTATTTCAAGAAAGCCATTGAAGAATCCGAACATGAATGGTGTGTCAATAAACAATTGGTTTCGTTGAGCAAGAAATCACTGCGCAGCAGTATACCCAAGGGACTACCTTACTTTTGGGTAAACTTCGGCATGGACACCGGTTTTGCGCACGTCATCGAAGATGAACAACGTTTTCCACAGAATTTTGCCGAAGAGATTATTGGTGGAATGTTACATTTGGACGCAAACAAATGGAGACGTCAGCAAAAGGAACAAAATATAATAACAAAGGTTAAAATGTTTGCCGATTGGTGGAAGAAATATGATTGTACAAAATGATAGTGTAATTTATTTTAATTGATAAAGAACAGAAAATTAAACGACTTGTTACTTTGTAACAAAACATAATCCAATTTTTTTGTTTGAATGCATTTTATAGGTGATTGGCGTAATTATTTTTTGAGATATCGAATTCTCTGAACCTACAAGAATCTAAACATTTTACTACTGGCATTACAAAAATTACAAACTTGTACTAATTTGCTGGTTTTGGAATATACCATGGTAGAAGAATATAGGTAGACGCATCTGCTGGGACTATGAACTGTCAAACCAATTTTGGAATTGAAAATGTTGAATGAAAAATTATTTAAATTTGTAAAAGTTGTTAAAAAACGCTTGTAATAATAACCTCCGAATGACATCCTATAAGAAAACATATAAAAATCTACTTATATTTGAAAAGACATTTAATTTTTTTTTTGGCATAACGATCCCAAGCGTTGATGCATTTAGCTGTATTCTTCTATCATGACAAAAAACATGTCATGTCTCCGAAAATTCATTTATTTTAAAAGAAAATGTGAACTTTATCCTTTACTTTTTCTAAAGTAAGGGCGCAATCACATAAGAAGCTTGAAGTCATTGCTAGGCATATTTTGTGACATTTCATAAAGGAATTACAGAGTCGCACTAAAATCTTGCCGTCGTTTTCCTTTATAATTTGACATTAATATGCCTAGCCGTGACTTCTAGCTTTTTATGTACTGTACCTTAAGGATAACCAAACTGAACTATAAACAGGCTTAAGAATTTGAATTGTTTTTCCTTGTACCAATTTGATGCGTGGCCCTACCCCTTTATAGTTATTTTCAGCAATAAATTCATGCCAGAGAAAAAGTTCACATGGTTCATTCCAGTGATTTGTTGTATTGAACTACGATTCATTCGTTTATGTCAACAAATTCGTTTGATTTTTGCTTTTAATTATTTATTGAAAAAAATCTTTAAATATGCCACTATATGAAACAGCAATGCAGGAAAAGCCCCCTGTTGTGTTAGATATAGGCTCAGCCTATACCAAGTAATGAAAAACTAACACTTACCAATGACGTCATGGCTTAAACTGATGATACATCTTTTTTGCAGGTTTGGATTTGCAGCAGAAGCATATCCCAGAAAAATTATACCCACAGAAGTTATACTGTCATCGAGTGGTGAGACAAAACATCTATTTGATTATGGTGACAAACTGGAGTTTTATGATCAAATGGTGGATTTTTTGCAGACCATATTTTTCAAGTAAGTAGTTAGTTATGAGCGAAGGTTTTCCTTTTTAATGTCGAACTTTCTTTACAGATATTTACTAGTCAGTCCAAAAGAAAGGAAAATTGTTGTGGTGGAGAATGTTTTTGGCCAGACAATTATACGTGAGACTTTGGCTAAGGCACTGTTTCGTCATTTTGAAGTTTCCTCAGTACTCTATGTACCATCACACATGATTGCCCTTTCCACATTGGCGGTGCCCCATGGTGTTGTCATTGATATGGGTTATAGTGAAACAACCGTTATGCCCATTTTTAGTGGTGTTCAGGTTATGCAAGCATTCCAAGATCAAAAGTATGGCGGGCGTGCCGTCCAGGAAGAAATCAAACGCATGTTAGTGGCAACCGGTGTCCGTGAGGAGTTACTCAGTGAATCGGTTTTAGAGGATATTAAAGTGCGCACTTGTTTTGTAACGAAATTAGAGCGAGCCCAATCTTATTTGAAAAATGAACCACCACAAGCCCCTCCAGATGTAGACTATCCCATCGGCGATGAGGCAATAATTACAGTGCCCGGAAAAGTACGTGAAACTGCATTTGAAATATTCTTTGAAGAGAACAATGATCGTGATAGTCTGCCACATCTTATTATGCAATCAATACTCAGATGTCCAATGGACATACGCCGTTCATTGATGGAGAATATTTTTGTTATTGGTGGTAGTGCAATAATAATGGGACTTCTACCCAGACTTCAACAAGAACTTAAGTATTTGGTGGAGAACGACAAAGAGTATAAGGAAAGGCTTCATGGAGATGTAACATTTAAATTTCATAAAACCATTGGTCGTCCAAATGTAACGGCTTGGATTGGTGGCTCATTGTGTGGTGGTACCGATTTAGTGAACACAAGATCACTCACCAAGGAAGCGTATATGCGCTTGGAAAGAGTACCCGATTGGGTTTGTTTGGATGACAATCGCACAGCCGGTTAGAAAAGTATTTATTATATTCTCTAAGATATTTATTGTAATGCTTAAAATGTTGAAAACATTTTAAACTTAAGTCAAAATTTGCAGAATACACAAGGCCTGTACTTGAAATGTAAACTAAAAACCAAATCCAAATTATGATTTATATTGAAAGGTTGATTCTATTCAACGCTCTGCACTATATATCGTTTGAAACCCTAAAATAATTAGATTTGTTGCTTTGATTTGATTAGAAAGAAAAAATTGCAATAATTTATGAAATCTCCTTTTAAATTTGAATTACGTCGTTTTAGCCGTATCAAATACGACTTCCAAATTTCAAAATTAAGTAAAATTTAATTAGACTTATATTACACAGACGGAATGTTCAACTTTATTCCATTGCAGGCCTAATGCATTCTTTCCATGACTTATGTACACTGGCCTTCTATTTATGTTTTTGGCACAAGGCCAAATTTCATTTGTATTCTCAGTTCATCATCTTTGAGCGCTTGCAGATTTCTTTGTCTCGTTTCTTCATCATCATTCTTGTGCGTATTGAAATGTGCTCTTAACTCACTTTGCAAACGAAATCCTTGTGGGCACATTTCACATTTATAGACACTATCAGCTCCCAAATGCCCTCTTAAATGCTTTATTAAATCATTACTCTGGGCAAAGGAACGGACACAATATTTACATTTATATGGTTTCTCACCCGTATGGGTTCGCATATGTCTTCGACATTGGTCAGCGAGGACAAATCTGAAAAAAAGAAACAACCGTAAAATTTCAAATAATGTATGTGTTTTTAAAATTTTTACCGTTTTTCACAAAATTCGCACGAAAATTTCCGTTCATTGGCGTGATACAGTTTGTGCTTCTTAAGGAGATATGGCTTGACAAAGCCACTGCCACAAATATCACATACATGAGATTTAGTCTTCGTATGTACTGCCTTGTGGGAGGCCAAATCACTAAGGCAGGGAAATTTTTTCGGACAATCAGGACATTCGTAAGGACGATCGGAGCCATGGCGTAAAAAGTGTTGTTTCATGTTACTCAGGCTCTTAAAAGCTTTACCACATTCCGAACACAGATAAGGCTGCTCTCCTGTATGAACTCTTAGGTGGTCTTTCAGGGAACTGGACTGATGGAAAACTGTCAAGAAAATTCTTAAATTATTTAAGTAAAGTATGACAATACTACACCCTACCCTTTTTACAAAATCCACACTCATTTTTTGCAGATTTGTTACGCATTCTCCCATCAGTCTCTCGCATGTGAATACGTAAATGCCTTTTAAGACTTTTGCGTGTCTTTAATTCGCTTCCACATTGATTACAAGTTAATCTATTTGTATTGTCTTCCTGTTGTTTTTGATTTTCTTCCGTATCCATATTATCGGTGGAATGGTTTATGTTTTCTTCTTCAGCCCTTTCAGTTTTATATGACCTACAAAATTACAGGATAGTGCTATAAAAACATTGGCGTACATAGAAATAACAATTTCTGATGTCTTACATATCTGTGTCTATTAATTGGCATTTGTTTCCAAAGGTTAAATTGTCGATGTCACCTTCATCACACCTTTCTTCGATCCTTGTAGTATTGTTAAGAGGTTCAAAACTTTTGTGTGTTTTAAGGTGATTATTGAGCGTTCTCATTGTTTTGAAAGCTAAAAAAAATATACAATATCATATAGAGCTTTAAAATAAGGCATGCACTTACTTCTTTTACAATCTTCGCATTGAAATGTGCCTTTGGAAGTATGCACTGTTCTGTGTCTTTTCAGGCCTTTGGGCGATGTTGGATTAAGACATTTTCTTGCAGGGCTATCTTCATTTGTGACACCATGTAGAGATGTTTCTGTGTTCCCTATAGACGAATATTCAGAGTCTCTGTTGGGAATAATGAATGAATAGTATTTAAAACTCAAATGAATATAGCTTTTCCGATTTACCTTTCGTCACAACTACTTGCACTCGACTCATTTTGGTCGCTTTGGACTTGCTCAGCAGCTGAATTACAATTCACAATATTTATTGTTTCCTTTTGGTTCTCATTGACTTTGTCGAGTGGTTCCAGAATTTCAATTTTTAGATTATTTTCTAGATCATGAACCGACGGGATCATATTAAGTGGGTCAGTAATATTGGCAGCAATCTCAATGCATTCGTCCGTTACGCTGCAATGTTCCATATAATGATGAAGCAATGAATCCAATATTGCATAGTGTTGATCACACTCGACGCATTTGAGGATGTATTGTTTGCTATTCAAATTGGGAGATATAAGTACGTCTCCACATTTGATGTATTCCAAATATTTGTCCATTTTCTGGATATGTATTCAATTCATTCGAATTACTACCACAATATTAAATATTAATTGTTTAAAATCATTTATAAAATATTAAATTGGTCAAGTTGGCCTGTTGTGCCTTGCAGTTTAAGAATGTAAACAAACGGTTGATATTCCTTTGACACAACAGAGCCATAGGTTACTAAAATGAGCCGTGAACTAGTTGCATCATTCACTGACATATATGACTCAATTAGAGTTGTTAGAATGCTGGGCGGGATTATCCCGATCGATCGGGACAAATATCGATAAAATTATTAGTGAAGTCTGAATTAAAGTTGAAAGCACCCCTGCCATGGGTAGACCATAGTAGAAGTATACAGGTAGAAGCATAGACACGGCTGCTGGTCAATGAACCGTCAAACCAATTGAATTGAAAAATTGTATGAAAAATTATTCAAATTTGTAAAAATTGTTGGAAAAGGTATATAGTAACCTCCGATTGACGTCGTATAAGAAACATATAAATATCTACTTTATTTGAAAAAACATTTGACATCAATAATCCCAAGCGTTGATTAGCGATTCCATTTTTGTCGCTTTATGCCAAATTTCGTTATTTACGATATGCTAGGAAATTCCACCACAGAAATGTTCGGAAACCCCAAAAAATATCACAAAGTTTATCTAGCACAGATTTTCTTAATTTTAAAGATTTATTTCAGAATATTTCAGCGAATGAAACAATCGTAAAGAATTGATATTCAAAATTTGTGTTCGATATAGAAAACCATTTTATTTTTCATAATTGTAAATAATTTATTTACAAAAAAATGCTTACAAACTTAATAACTATCAGACATACACACAGCGCCCCTCTCATTCCTCCTGCAATCTCAAGCGATGTTGTGTCAAAAACGCCACATCGAATATGGCTTCTTGTTGTAGCAGCTCATGGACTTCATATTTCATTGACTCCTCGTAGGCATATTGAATACTTGTGTCATACAGCATCATTTTACAATGGGCCAGAGCCAATATACAGTTCCTCAATCGGGCAATGACTTCACGGTCACCTCGTGGTATAATCTCGGACAGATTTTGTGAAAAGCCACCATCACCACCCTCGCCATCGGAACGGGACGATGGCGATACCCATATGAAACCATTATTACCCAAAATAATGCTGGCACCACAGGGTAAATTGTGAAAATGTGTCTTACGCCGTTTGACCAGTGAAGGGAAGACCTTAACCAACAAACCCTGTGACAGTTTGCCATATTTCAAGGAACGTGTGTACAGCGACAGCGTACCCTCATCGTAGATATTTTGTACTTCGGCCGAAATAAGATCACCTTCTTGTAAATATTTACGCATTGCCTGTTCATCTTCCGCCACACGTCTTCTCAGCTCACCACCGGGTAAATTCACAGAGGATAGCAAGAGAATGGAATCCAAACGAGAATTGGTATCGACTTTCCATCTTTTCTGTTGCACCTCGGTTATCCGTGCCACCACCACATCGCCAATTTCACCGACATAACGACTTTTTAAGGGTTTTATGGACACCAATTTGTTGACTTGTTCCATGACACCGGCCACAGAAGCTTTGATGTCATCTCCTTCCACATAGGTTCCGTGGCCTTTCATGAAGCCCTGTTGAGCTGTAACCACTTCACCGGGTGTATATAAGCGTGGAGCATTCGCTTGATTTTGTGCCAATAGACCCATATTGACACGATCCAGGGCTAGGCGGATATTTACGTTCGTGGTCATTTTAAAAAAATTTAAAAGGAAGGAACAAGAGGAACGTGGGCAACGCACGCCACACAAAAGACAAACAACAAAGCCGGATGATTTTTGTCTGTGGGAGAAATCAAATTACAAAGCTCTGTTAGAAAACCAACGCCGCTTAAGACTACGAAGTAAAACACTATGCAGAATGAAAGATAAAGATGTAAATCAAAACAAAAAAATGCAAAATTAACAAAGAAATAGACATAATTTTATTTCCTCCTCCTTTCCACTCGAAGAAAAGTAGGTCTCTGCAGATCGAAAACGGGTGGAAATAAAATAGGGAGCCACAGTTTTATTTTTCTCCTTTCCACTAGAAGAAATGTTGTTGCGAATGGCAATGAAGGAGTGGAAAATGTATTTACTCCTCCTTTCCAAGAAATGAAAAGGATAATTGTGTGTTGAGAAGAGAACGTTTGAAAAACAAGGATTAAGCCGTTCAGTTTTTAAATTAAATCTAAATAGATTAGAGTTATAGCCGTTCAGTTTTAAAATTAAATCTAAATAGATTAGGGTTATAGAGATCGACAATTACATAGCTATTTACTCAATAGTGAGGTACTTCCTATAAAATAATATTTTCAATAGCTACCTATTTTTTCAAAAAACTTGGCCAGTTCAGTTAAGCATTTGGTTTAGTATTTCTCCACAAAATGTCCTATAATTTATTTAAAGATGTTCAAGTGATATTTCTATGTAAAATGTTAACCTGGGAAAAATTCATAATTTTTTATAGGATGAACTTGTCAAAGCAATAAAGTTCTATAGAATAATTAGTCTGTTCCAGAACTGCAGGAATGTAAACGTTTTACTACGATAACCGATTTTCCCTTTATGATATCCCGAAAAAATTGTAAAACTAGTAGATTCCTGCAGGTTCTGGAACAATGCAAATGTGGAATGGAAGAACTGGACTATATATATTTTTTTAAAGGTAGATCAATTTTTCTACACATATGATTGATGATGTGGTATTCTCGAAGAAATTCTGCAAAATCAACGGAAAATAAGAGTGAGTGTTATTTTCCTTTGGTCATCTCCCAAAAACTCATCTCCGTCAAACTTTATACTTTGAATTGGAGACTGGAACTTATTATTCTTAAGAACTATATTTCAGAATTTATTTGATAATTAATTTCAAATTTTTCATTGAATGACAGTTTGTGTACTTGACAAACAAGCTGCTTCGATAATTATTTTCCTCCATTCCAGAAATCTTTTCACGCAACTTCATAAAAAATTCTTTATGCTTTCAAAATTTTTAATTAAGAAGAATTTTTCTAACGAATTTGTGTCCTAATTAATGTCACCCTTAAAGAATGCTATAGGTTTTCCTCATTACAAAAAAAAAAAAAAAAATGCAATACAAACATTCCAGTCTGTTTTTCCTACTAAAAATTGTTGTGTTTAACTTTGAGCTCCCCCCACACACACATACACTGTTTTTACCAGACATCTATGGGGGGTGGACAAACACAGCATAGTTAATATGCAAATACCATATAAACATAACAAAACGCCAAAACGTTTCACAGCAAAGCAAATTATTGGCCCCCACATACAAGAAATGCACTGGACATGACAACAACAACGGGAGTAGTTGTTTTCGGAAGAAATTTCAACACACAAACCATCGTTCCGGTATTTCAAAAAAGAAAAAAGAACGAAGAGCTAGCAATCAAATAGTAGAACGTAAAATATTGAGTAAGCAAAAATTTCGTCCTCTCATATCTCCAAAGACGGAGCACCACCCTTCGAGTACTCCAACATAAATTAAAGCAGAAAAATATTAAGAAAAACACGAAACATTGAAACCAATAGAATGATAACAATGTACAAGGCACGTGGGGAATAAGGCATGTGTATGTGTACAGTGGTTTCAAATCAATTGGAATTTTTAAACATACATTTTAATAACGACAATTTTATTATTTGATTTTTGGGAGTTTTTTTATCTTGAAAAATTTTCTGAACTTTTGTAGCTTAAAATTTAATGCATTAATTTCATCGTATAGGAAAGTTCATGCCGTGAACCATTTATTAAAAACTCTTCTTTTTTATACCACAGTATCTGTCCAAACGAAACATTGAAGCGTAACACAAACATAAATATCCAAACCGAAATGAATGTCTGGAATGTCACGCAGTTTTCAGTTGTTTTTTTTTTTCTTTGCTTTGCCGTAACTTTGTTGTTGTTTTTGTATGTGTTAAGGACGAATTGTTGTTAACGGTTATTTGGAGAGACAAAAAAATCCAAGCAGACATGTAGGTACATGCCTCCCAACAACAACATAATATTAGAGAGCACATAAATATCATAAAGAGAGTGCTAGACGGTGAGAGAGAGCGAAAGAAAACTTCATTGTATGAATCACACAGCACAACTCTCCCCCAACTAAATAACAGTAACGAAAAAAAAGGAAAGCCCCATTGCCTAAGTTTGTGTGTGTGCGTCTGTGAGAGGGGAGCAGACAGAGAGCGAGAGACTGAGGAGTTATATCTTTGTTAGGTGACGTTGAAAATGCTTTGGTTTTGGCATTTTTTTTGCCCTGCTGTGTTAGATGGACAACCAAGCAACAGGCAGAATATTGCCATTTTCAATATTCAGTCTGCATTCAACCATTAAACAGGGCGTAACTTAATAAATTCCGATACGCGTAGAACTTTGAATTCTTTAGCTGTGAAAGAAAAGTAACAATCCAAAACGTCAAGTTTTGTAAAAATTAAAAGAAAATAAACTTAATAAACGGCCAAAATTAATAAAGAATTGTGAAATTATTTCCCGTGGCCTAAAAATATGCTATAATTTTTGTTACTTATTAAAAAGAATACGGGAAATATGTTAACTAACAAACCAAAAAGGAAATAGATTTTTTACAAACACACACACACACGCGCGTGCATACATAAATCATACATTTATTAATTATTAAACAATAAAGCAAAAACAAATAATTGTAATTAATTTCGAAAAATAATAAAAAAATAAACGAAATATTATCTTCATTTTGATAACTTAACTTTGTGTGTGTCTGAGTGTGTGTGAGTTATTTCGAGTTTTTTTCGTCATTACTGGCTGCTGACTGGCGGCTGCATTTGGCCATGGATTTTCGAAGCCTTAATAATGGCGGCAGCGGAAACAGATTTGTCTGTCCCAGTGACAGACAGTTGGCATTGAGAGCAAAGTAAGCGAAAATATAAGCATAACAGAAATCATAACACCAACAACTGCAACAACAACAAAAAATAATAACGAAATTATGAACAGTAACCATATGTAAAAAAAAAAAACGAAAAACAAAAATGACAGTGAAGTACAAAAGTGTGCAGACACTTAGCAATTGTTTTTTAAAGCTACTGAATTTTTGATGTAAAGAAGTAAATCCAATTTTATTAATGGCCCGAGCAGTTGAAAAATATTTAGAAAAATCACGAATAAAATAGTATAAGTCGGTTTTGCCGACAGATGTATACCCACAGTCTAGAGTTGTGGTTATTCAAACTTTTAACCCTTTATGGGGGTAGTTTCGAGGCAGTTGGCCAATATTGAGCGTTTTGTTTTTCAAAAATCTTAAACCCTTTGTGGGAGAGGTACCAGAAGAAATGGTCCGATCTCTACCATCTTTATAACATATTTTGTGTTGATTGAAATATTGAGATGTACCAAGTCTGAATGGAATCGGATGTTAATTTCGGGTTTTATGAGCTTCATGTGTACTCAAAATTTTGACCTTTGTGGGAAGGTACCAGAAGGAGTGGGCCGATATATCCCATCTTCACAACAGACCTTGGTTGAATAAAAATATTGGGATGTATGCAATTTGAAGAGAATCGGCTCTGTATTTTGGATTTTATGGTCGTTTTGGTTATTTAAAATTTTGACCTTTGTGGGGGAGGTACTAAAAGGAATGGTCTCACCTCTTCCGTCTTTAAAACAGATTTTGTGCTCATGAAAATATTGAGATGTGGTAAGTCTGAATGGAATCGGATTTTAGTTTCGTGTTTTATGAGCTTAATGAATATTCAAAATATTGACCCTTTGTGGGGGAGGTACCAGAAGGAGTGGACCGATATATACCATCTTCACACCAGACCTTGGGTTAATAAAAATATTGTCATGTGTGTTATTTGAAGATAATCGGAAATTTATTTCACATTTTATAAGAGTTATAATTATTCAAAATTTTGAACGTTTGTGGGGTAGGAACTTGATCGAGTGGACCGATATTTTCCATTTTCGCACCTAACCTAGTACTGATGCAAATATTAGGATATGCAAAGTTGGAGCAAAATCGAATTATCCTTTCTTCTTCTGTGCAGTAAATTATTTTTTTTTTTTTGAAAATGTCGACATTTTATGGGGGAGCTACCAGAAGCAGTGGGCCGATATTGCCCATCTCCGAACTCGATCTAAGTTAGATAATAATGTTAGTTTGGATCAAATCGGATACTCCCTTCGAGAGTTATCAGCCCGACAGACAGAAAGACGGACGGACATCGCTAGATCGATTCCAAATGTCTTGAAACAGATTTGCTCTAAAAAGACCTAGGGTCGCCATATGTATACAAAAAGGTAAAAATATTATAAAAAAGGTTTTGAAAATAAAAATATTTTAAAAATGTAAAAATATTTTTTTTGTTGATAAATTTTTTTAATTTATAAAATTATAATAATTTTTAAATTAAATATTTTTTAAATATATTTTTTTTTTTTAACAAAATTACTTTTTGCTCTCACTTTTCCCCATCACTGTATTTGCGCTAAGACCATATTTCCCCCCTTTAATATAATAATACTCCATATCGCAATCGACCGGGTAGTCACATCTAAATCACACACACACATGTGCAGAGAAATAATCTCTTCCCCATTAAATAGAAGACCCCAGCAAATATGCAGTAGAACTTCAACGAAGCACAGCACCGCATTCCACATACACACACACTCAACAAAAAGTCCCCTTGTAGCGTGCAGTGTGAAGGCGAAGGCTTTATACAAATTACAAGTGAAAAAAATGAAGCATACATACAGGCGAACACAAAACCCATTTGGTAAACACAAGAATCATGAACTTCAATAAAAGGCAATTGCAGAAAACCACAACAACAAGGACTACCTCCAGCAGACGACGATGGCAATAACCACAAATATTATTAAATTTTTTTCTGTATTTGTTTTAATTTCTGGTAGAAATAAAAGAAATCATTTGCTGTTATGGTGTTGTGTCACAGGAGACAAACGACGGGGTTTTAAAAATAAATTAAGGGGGTTCTGACTTAAGGATATGTTTGCTCTTTACTTCAAAAAAAAAAAAAAGGATCAAAGAAATCACTTTCCAAAAAATATGAGATGTTTCGAAACAAATACAGACAAAGTAAATAAATTGTATTTTAAAATTTGTAACAAGTCCTTTAAGCCTCCAGACGTGTAAAATATTAAATATTTAATTGAAATTGCCCTAAATCCAATTGCAAATTGAGCTCACACACACACTCCTACTGCATGTGTAGACACATAGAGTCCATGATGCTAATAAGAAATAAGAAACATTTTACGTTGGCGTTGACATTCACTTGAAATTCAATCTAAAGCCAAAATAATTACAAAAATAGACAGAGGATGTCAAAGATCGCATGTTGCACATGTCAAGGATAAGAACATCATCACTTAGTCATTTTATGAAAGAAAAAAAAGATTAAAATTATTGGGAATCTTCCTGAGAAATTCGTGATAATCTCTTTATTGCATGCTCATTACAGTTTTCTGAAAGATCCTCCAAGATACATCGTTTGTTACAAAAATTATATAACCTAAGAATAATGATGAAAAATAGGAAAAATTAAGTCTTCTTTTGAATTTATGTATAGCATTAGAGTTAACTAAGTTATGCCTACAAAACTTATCGGATTTTTATAGAAAATGTTCCTTTTAATTAACAGATTTAGAGATATCAACTCTTTAAAATCACCATAGAGAATATGACCAAAAAATTTTAGTTCTTAGCACTTGTTTTCTTTGGGAAATAACTCTGGTATTTGCTTAGCTATTTCAATAAAAATTACCTATTTTCTGAAAAACGCATTCTTTTTTCATTATCAATTCATTTTATTAAGATATCTCAATTAGTACAATAGTTACGGTCTTCTTTAATTAATTACGAAAAAAATAACAACATTATGAATTTTAAGGTCTTTATATTTCTTTGACGATAACTCTGGTAATTGATTATCTATATCGACAAAATTTACCTATCTTTCGAAAAAGACATTGTTTTTTTAGTATCAATTTATTTCACCAAGATATCCCAACTAGTACCAAAATTATGTTCTCTTTAAATTGATTACGGAAAAAATGTCAACATTATGGAGTTTATGGTCTCTGTAATATATTGGTGATAACTCTGGTATTTGATTGGCTATATCAATAAATATTTCATATTTTTCGAAAAACAGCTTCATCTTTTATGATACATTTTTTCATTATTATATCACAACTAGTTTAAAAGTTATGGTCTCCTTAAGTTGATTACGGAAAAAATAACAACATCATGAATTCTAAGGTCTTTGTATGTTTTTGACGATAACTCTGGTGTTTGCTTATGGATATCGATAAAATTTACCTATTTTTCGAAAAAGACATTCCTCTTTCAGTATCAATTTATTTCACCAAGTTAGAATTTTAAGGTCTTTTTTTAATTTTTTGGTGATAACTCAGGCATTTCACCAGCAATATAGAAAAATCATATCACTATTAAAGCATAGCATTTTCTTCCTTCCAAATTGAGTTTTTCATCAAGATATCTCAATTACTTCCAAAGTTATATCCCTTTTAATATGCTTGCTGAAAATACTACAAAATTGGTACTTTAAAATGACTTGTTATCGGTGGCCGATAACTCAGCTATTTCACCAGCTACATTATCCTAACTTAAACCAAAATTAAAGCCTATGTCTCTGTTTTTCAAAATCAAGTTATGTTAATAAAATATTCCAAGTACTTCAAAAGTTATGGTCTCTTTAAAATGATTACCGACAATATGTCAAACTTATCAATTTCAAAACACTTTTGACCTTTGGACTCCTTACTTCAAAATTTCTTCAACTACACCAAAGTATCTCCACTGTGATTTCGAAACTGTATTTTCCTTATTCCGTATTCAGTTATTTTGTGAAAATATCCCGACTATTTTAAAACGTTATGGCGTCTAGATATATCATATCAAATATTTAATAAAAATGTTTGTTTTAAAGCACGAATAAAAATTAGCCCATAACTCAGGTATTTGGCCAGATGAAATCAATAAGGTGAATGGAGATTACTTATCAAATGTCCATCTTTCAAATACAGTTTATTTCATTTGGATATCTAAAGTATTTCCCAAGTTATAGCCTTTTTGGTGAGTTTACATAAAACATTGTCAATTTTCTAAATTTGATGACACTTTTTAACTTTTGCCGATAACTCAAAAATGTCTCCAGCTGCCTACATTTATTTTAACTACAGCTTAAAAACCACATCTCCTTTTTTCTAATTCAACTTATTTCATTAATATATCTCCAGTATTTCAGAAGTTATGGTATTTTTAAAATCGTTACGAACAATTTTGCAAACATTTTAATTTTGAAATACATGTAAGTTTTCGCCCATAACTCAGGTATTTCATTAGCTATGTCAGTGTAACTGAAACACAATTTAAAGATTACATTTCCATGCTTCATAATCTATTATCATTGAGATATCTCAACAATTTCAATAGTTATATCGCCTTAAAAATACTTACGGAAAATATGTGGAAAATTGTAAACATTATATATTGGTGATTTTTTGTCCATATCTCCTATATTCGCTTGTGTACATCAATATATCTTAGACACAAAATATAACAAGTATTTTACCCTCCCAAATATAGTTTATTTCATCAGGATATCTTAACTATTTCAAAAGTTATGGGTTCTTAAAATTTATTACTAAAAATATGTTAAAAGTTTAAATCCTTGAGCACTTGTGTAGTTTTGGCGATAACTCAGGTACTAGATTGGCTACATCCTTATTATTTGATAGCGCTTGAAAGATTTTCCTTCCCTCTTTCCAAGGCCTGCCTTTTTTGCTAATACGTCTCTACAATTTTAAAAGTTATGGCATTTTTAAAATCATTACAAAATTTAGAGCAACAATTTTATTTTT